ATCTTATCACAGTAACAATAGCAAAATTCAACAGAGCAGCAAACAACAAATGCTGGCGAGGTTGCGGAGACACTGGAACCCTTACTCACTGTTGGTGGGAGTGTAAAATGGTGCAACCGCTCTGGAAGGCAGAATGGCACTTTCTCAAAAAGTTGAAAATAGAGATACCATTTGACCCAGCAATTCCACTACTGGTAATAAACCTTAAAGAAAACAGAACTGCCATCCAAGCAGATATATGCACATCCATGTTTATTGCTGCTTTGTTCACAATAGCAAAGAGTTGGAAGTAACCCAAATGTCCATCAAGAAATGAATGGCTTAGAGAAGCGGTAGTATATTCACACAATGGAATATTATGCAGCACTGAAAAACCATAAACTCATGAAAGATTATACAAAATGGGTGACCATGGAGGACATTATGGTGAGTAAAATACCGCAGTCACAAAAGGACAAATACTGCATAATGTCACTGTTATAAAACAGGATTGACATGGGGGTTGGGGAGAAACTAAGAAAATAGGGGATAAATAATGTAAATGGCATTGAAACAGATGAGGGAGAGCACTGTATAAAAGGAATATATGATTAGGTATTATTGGCATGACAAGAGTCCAGAATAAGAGTGGAATAATAAAGTGGACTGGGGGAGGGTACTATATGATAATGAAAGATTTTTTTTTTCAAAGAGAAAAGTGAACTGGGGAGGAGGGGAGGCAGGGAGGAAAATGTGCAACAATGAATGAATGGAATTCCAAGTTCTCTATTAACTTTCATTAAAATCTCAATAAAAAAAATGAGAATACATATCTGAATGTATATGCTTTACAAACAAGTTTGGAGCTATAGTACATCAAATAATTGCTAGTTTTCCTTTTGCTCTTTTTATAAATATGTCTTGGAAAAGGGGCAGACAGGGTGCTCCTTGGAGGGATGGATAGTGAAACTTTGTTGAACATATTTTGGACATGTTGTTAGGAAGGTCTAGTCCTTGGAAAAAGACAAGATGCTTGGAAAGATGGAAGGTCAGTGCAAGAGGTAAGACCCTCAGTGAGGTGGATTGACACAGTAACTCTAACAGTGGCTATCATTATGTCAGAAATTGTCAGCAATTTTACTTCACCAGTAGCTTGTGAGGAAGACGTGCTTTCCTGAAAATTAGCCTAGGAAACACTCTGAGAAAGTTTCACTTTGTTATAATGGATTGCTGGGAGTTGGAATAAGGAGACTTGGTGTTGGTGGTAGTGCTGTTAGATGTGGGTGAGTTGAGTATGACTCATAGCAAGTCTAGAAACAACAGATCTGAACCCTGTGCTAGCCTGTGCCATCCTCACCATCTTTGCCACATTTCAACCCTTTGCTGCAGTCCCTGTGTCAATCCAGCTCTCCAAGGATCTCCCTCTCTTTCATTGACCCTCTACCTTTCCAAGAATGATATCCCTCTCCAGGGAAGAGAATCTCCTAGCAACATGCCCAGTTTGAAACCACCAGCTACTCTGCAGTAGAAGGATAGGTAATCTCCTGTGTGATTTTCTGCCTCTGAAAACTATGGGTCAGTTCTGATTCGACAGCACACAACAAAAGCAACATGCCCAAAGTGCCCAAGGATGATAGACATAGTTTCTCCATTCTTGCCTCTATGAAACAATCTGGCTGAATTGGAACCCACCAGTTACTCCTTGGGAGAAAAATGTGGCAGCCTGAGTTGGAATCACAGATTTTATGGTATATAACAATTTTTCTACAATTAACACATAGATTTTTGTTAAAAAGTTATCTTTTGGTTTTAAAAATTTCAAAAATAAAGCGGGGATAATGATTCTTGCTTTGCCTATTCATGAGGGCATTATGAGTCATATGTGTGTCATATTTAAGCAAGACTAATGTTAAAGTACTCAAGAGCAACGGTGTCTCTTTGGAGACAAAGGTGCCCTGATACAGGCCATGGTCTTTGCAATCACTTGTTATGCATCTGAGAGCTGGACAATAACTAGGGAGGACAGAAGGAGAATTGACGCCTTTGAGCTGTGGTGCTGGAGAAGAGTATTGAATGTACCATGGACTGCCAAGAAAACAAACATTCATCCTAGAGAGGGTTAAACCAGGCTACTCCTTGGAGGCAAAGATTCTGGGGCTTCGTCTGACATACTTAGGACATGTTGCAAGGAGAGACAGGTCTTTGGAGAGGGACATCATGCTGGGTAGAGTAGAGGGACAGCGCAGGAGGGGAAGACCCTCTATGAGGTGGATTGATTCAGTGACTGGGGTAATCGGGATGGGTGTGTCAGAGGCAATGCGATTGGCAGAGGATAGAGCAGGGTTTAGCACTGTTGTTGTGCATAGGGTCGCTATGAGTCGCAAACGACTCGATGGCACATAACAACAACAACAATAATGTTGGAGTAAGACTTCTTACATTACAGAACGGAGGACTTTAGGCACAGCTCCACTTTGGGAGTTTTCCTGGGTCCCTAGGAAAGAGGAGAGACTCCATTCTCAAGGGACAAGCAAATGTTTTGTTTTTGGTAAGGTTTGCAATCTGCTGTGCTTTAACAAATACCTCTCTCATCGCATTGAGTTGGTGCTGAGTCAAAGCTGACCCTTAAGCAGCCTTCTGAGGCTGTAAAACTCACCCGGGATTACCCAGCTTTCTCCCCACCAGAGAGGCGCAACTTTGGGTTAGCAGTGCAAACGCTGTGGAACTACACCAGAGCTCCCTGACTATTAGCGTAAACAACAAAATACAAAGTTTACCATTATTTTAAGCTCCACTAAGAAAGAAAAGGAAAAACTGTCTATTAGATTATGGCACACCTTGTATAAAATGCATCTCAGAGGCCGTAAACCTGAGAAAAAGGTTTGCCTTGAAATCAATGAACATTGTAGCAGCATCTCTCTTCTTTTCGGTGGGTAGAACACTTGAGCAGCGCTATCTACCCACTCAGCCTCACACCTACCCTTTCTGTAGCCCCTTTCTTTCAAATCAGGTCGGCCTTGCCCACTCTTGCTGCCACCTGAGGTATCGTCTCTCACCGGACCACTGCACTAGTCCCCTTACCAGCTTGCTCATTTCACCCTTCAATCCATTATTCATGCCACGGCTCAAACGATCTTTCCAAAACTGCGCTCATTCCACGCCCTGGCTTGAGCACTTCCATTGGCGGCGTTACCATAGGGAAAGACGTTCGCCTTAGCATTAGCGTTTTGTGTGTGACCTAGCTTCTGCCTGCCATTTAGTCTCCTGGCACTTTCTCCAAATTTGATTACTTGCTGCTCCCCTAAAGCACCAGCTGTTTTCCATGCTCGGACTGCTCTCCTTCAACAAGTATTTACTGAACTTGTAGCAAGTGCGGGAAGCTGGGAATGCAGGGTAAACGTGAAAGGCGGGTGGGAAAAACAAAGTAAACTTGGAATTTCTAATCATGGTAAGTGCACGTGGTGGGCGAGCAAAGGGTCTTTTGAAAATGTCTATACCGCAGAGTTTAAGAGCTGGCCTGGGAGGTGGCGCATTATGGATCAGAACTCGAATCAACTACTACCTATGTGCCTTGGGCGACTGAAGTAACGTCCTCTCGCGAGTGTTTAAAAAGAGAAGCAGAAGACTGCGCGATTTCCGCCGGCCCAGGAGTGGGCCCCACGCCCAAAGAGAGCGGGGGTCCAACAGCACCCCTTCCCCGAGCCAAGCCTGCAAAGGCTCCGTGTGCACAGCAGCCCTGCGCGTGCGGCGCCTGCGCACAAAGTCCCCTCGGCCAGCCATTCGGTCGGCGACCCGACCACAGGCGGGGTCTACGAGGTTGGGGGAACAGGGGAGCCGTCCGCCGCGTCAGATGCAAGGCGAGGGGAACAGAGCTCCTCCCTATCTCCCCACGTCGGGGGGCAGCCCTCTACGCTTACTCCCGCCCCTGCCCGTGAATCACTGGGGGAGCAGGGCCGTGACCCATTCATGCCGGGAATTGGATCCAGATGTTCCCGCGGCGCGTGCAGCTGCATCCTTGCCTTTTTTGGCAAAAAACGTACGGCTGCGAGAGCGGATCCCGGACCGCCCCCGCTAATCCCTGGGAAGAAGGGGAAGAGGGTCTGGGCTCTGACAGGGTGCCCTGCAGGATTTAAGTGCTGTTGGTGGGGGAAGCGATTTGTATTCGAAGGAACCCTACTCCCTATTTGCATGTCCCACCGGGAACCCTCACCCCGCTCCCTCCCTTCGCTCTACCGAGGGAAAAGCCTGGAAGAAGGCCTGCAACGCTGGGGAGGGAGGGATGGTAGCTGAGGAGCTTTTCTTCGTGGGACTTCCTACCCTGACTCCTCGCCACCTCCACCTCTGCCCAGCACTAAAGGACCTCAGCATTCGCAAAGGCAAAAGACTCCATCTTGCCCCCACCCCGAGCCCCAGACAAAGTCAAAGGGATCAGTGCTCTTCATACTGCTTTATTGCAGAATCTGGAAGGGGAGCTCATTGGCCACCCCTCTGCCCATCTCTGAGCAAGTGGAGCTGAAATGAAATGAGAAGACACTTGATGGGCACGGAATCCTTCTACCATGGGATCCCACCTATTCACCCATCAACCCTCTCCCCCTGGTGATGGCGTGGAATGGGGGCGGGCTAGACTTGCTATAGTTTACTTTTTATAACTTCTCAGGCACTCACAGGAAACCAAAAGTCTATGGAGAGTTTAAGGAGACCTGGGTTCCTGGGTCCAGGTTTGAAGGACAGACACGTGTAGAGTTCTGTGAAGGGGACTTGGTCTGATTGATAACAGAGGAGAGAGGGCTGAGCAGAGTTCTGGAATCCAGGTTTGGTGATGGGTTTGAATCCTGGAAGTCTTTAATCCTGGGAGTCTGGGGGCACAAGGTCAGCGAGTACCAGTTCGGAGATGTTGGGATGAAGAGGCTGAAAATCTTGGAGCCCAGAGGACTCCAATTTGGGGAGGGACTGGTTTGGAAAGGGAGCTACAGTTCTGGTGCCCTGGCTTGGGAGGGCCTGGGCACAGGAGCCCTGTCTCAGGGCCCTGCCTGGCTGCAGCCTTGGCACAGCACTTGGTCTCCGTCAGGCACAAAGCCTTGGCCCACGAGGGAGGTGGAGCAGCGGGCGCAGGAGAAGCAGCTGTGGTGCCAGTGGCGGTCTTCGAAGGACACATACTTGCCCCCACCAAGTCCTGGAGGGAGGCTGGATGTTAGCTCTGCAGATTCCAAGGTTAGTCCTGCCCCCCAGCCTCACCCAATACCAGGCCCCATTCCCTTGTCTGTACCCTACCCACCCTATTTTGGACCCTTATCCCACCTGTTATGGGGCGCTTGCAGCTGCTGCACTTCGGTGCAAAGAGTTCCCCAAAACATGCCACACAGTAGGGATCTTCCTCCCGAGAGGTGAACTGCTGCCCTGCCAGGGGTATCTGGCACCCGGTGCAGACGAGGCACTCCCTGTGCCAGGGCTGGTCACGGTATGTCACGCCTCCCTGTGTCAGCGTCTGTGGAGGTGGCATCCATCAGCTGGGGGGAGTGGAGATTCCCACCCTACAGAAGAGACTCACACAGCCCCACCCATGAGGGCAGCAGAGGTTAGTACTTCACCCCACTGGTGTTGGTCCAGCCCCCACCTTGCTGCAGCGAGCACAGCGAGGTGCAAACTTGTTCTCATAGCAGGGCACGCAGTAGTGACCACCCTTGTCAGGCACGAAAGAACGGGAGCCCAGTGGCTGCTCACAGCCACTGCACAGGAAGCAGTGCTCATGCCATGTCTGGCCTCCATACTCCAGTTTCCGGGACCCTGTAGGGAACAAGAGTGCCACTCAGAAGCTGTATCCCAAACTCCAGATGAACAGCCTCTGCTACCCGCCAGAACAGTCCCCACTGCACCCACAGCCTGAGCAGAGTACTGTCCATGTACCTACCAAACATTACACATGATATATGATAACCTCTCTCAAACCACCCCAATACTGGCTGTGATGTCTCAGTCTATCCTAAGCTGCCATAACCTATAGGAGAGGATTTGGGCATCTGTCAAGTCCAATATGACTATTTCAGCACACATCAAGTCACCATGTGCCAGGCATGACTCTTAGTACAAGCTGGGCCCTTATATGCCAGATATGGTGGTATTAGCACACATGCATCCAAAAAACCCCAACCCCTCTGCCAGTTGGAATTGATTCCAACTCACAGCAACCTTGCATGTTACAGAGTGGAACTGGGCTCCAGAGGCACTTCTTGGCTGTAATCTTTATGGAAGCAGAAAGCCAGACCTTTCTTCTGTAGCATTGTTGGGTTGGTCTAAACCATCCTTTTGCTACTAGTCTAGTGCAAACCATTTCTACCATCTAGGGACCTAAACACACAGACTTCACATATAACAAGCAAGTGGTCTCTGTCGACACAAAAGTCCAAAGCCCAAGACATGACAGATTTGGTACATGCTAATCCCTTGCATATCCCAGGCATGCCACTCTTCACACGTGCTAAGTCCTCACACATCTCCCAAGCATGCAGTTCCCTACACATGTTCATAGGGAGCATAGGCCACAGGGAGTTGGGCTGCTAACCTAACGGTGGTGTGAATACACCAGTGACTCCTCAGGAGAAAGAAAGGCAATCTCCTCAGTGTCATCGATAGCTTCAGAAAACCCACTGGAGGTTCAGCTATGCAACTCTGAGTTGGTTCTGACTTACAGCAATGTCTGGCCCGTGTTAAGCCCTGTGTATCTGTCTTCGCATATACTAACCCACACTAGTGCCCACACTGTCTCTACATACATACCCCAATGCACTGGTGCAAAGAGACGTAACATAACTTAGGTCCTACCTGTACCAAACAGGTCTACTTTATACATGTGAAGGCCCCAAGTGTGTTACCATGAGTTGGCACATGCTAAGCCCCCAGATGTGTACCAGGCCTGCTGGTCCAGCACACATGAAACCTTCAGGAATGCAGCAAGCTTGTCAGTTCTGCACATGCTAAACCCAGTCATGCATATGCTTGGGGTTGCCAGTCCCAAAGCATACACAAGTACGACACACACAAAACTTCTAAAAACACACTATGTGTGCAAGTGTTTACACAGTCAAGTCTTCATGTGTATTGGAGATAGACACTCTCGTCCCTGCCAGGTGTCCTGGTCCCAGTACATCCTAAGCAAGGGGGAGATGGCAGGCATGCGTGAGCCCCCAGGGACATACCAGGCATGACGGTCTCCCCGCAGGCAGAGCACTGTGAGGAGAAGGCACTGCAGTAGCAGTCATTGCAGAGCAGCTCGCTGTCCTGACAGGTGAAGGGCTCATCGGCCAGGGAGCGCTGGCAGCGGCAGCAGCGGAAGCAGCCCTCATGGAAGTGGCGGTCTTCATAAAACAGCTCCTGTGGGGAGTACCGTAGGGAGCACTGGCACTTGGATCTGCGGGATCCACTCTTTGCCCCCTTCCACCACCTCCCACCCACTCCTCCTCTCTCTGGTAAGGCCCTCACCCTTGAGTCATGCCCGATAATCTGCTGGCACTCAGCACAGGTGTTGGCAAAAGTGTTGTCATAGCATGGCACGCAGTGGGGGCCGCCGTCCGTCTGGATGTACTTGCGGCCGTACAACGATTCACCACATTTAGCACAGTCAAAGGCCTCACTCATGGTGGCACTGTGGCAGGCTCTGTTAGGAATGCAAGATAGGACAGGGGTCACCTAGACGGGCTGTGGCTTGACCCCTTTGCAAAAGCCACATGCATTCAAGAAAGGAATCAGACACAGGAAATTCCAGATGATATAGCAGGTAGGAATGGAGAAGGGGTGCTTCTGGGAATATAAATGTCCTGTGTGTTTATTTCTGTATTTAAGAGTCCAGTGGGAAGGGGTCAGGAAAGAATCAGGAAGCAGAAGTTGCTTTCTTATCTAGGACCTGGCAGATCTGGGGGAAGGGGCTTTTGCTGAGCCAATGATTCATTTCCTGTCCCAGACTGAGTTCAGCAATCCCTCCAGAGGAGCTCTGGTGGCAGAGTACGTTTCATGTCCATCCATTACTGACTAAAAGGTCGGGTGTTCGAACCCACTGGCTGCTCTGCAGATGCACGATGGACAGTCTTGTCCTGTTAAGATTTATAGCCTGGGAAACCAACAGGAGGATGGCTGTGAGCTGCAACTGACTCAGCAGCAGGGAGTGAGGCACCCTGGTGGCACAGCAGCTAAACCACATGGCTGCTAACCAGAAGGATTTGATTCAAACCCACCAGCTGCTCCACAGGAGAAAGACGTCAGTCTGCTTCCATTAAGACTCCGAGCCTTGGAAATCCTTTACGGCAGTTCCAGCCTGTCCTAAGGGGTTTCTGTGAGAATCGACTGCATGTCAATGGGTTTTTGGTTTGGTCCTTACTGTCTCTAGGGCAAGAAGCCCCTCCATCTGACCAGCATGTCCACTCTCTCCTGACTCCTAGGAAGAGACCTGGAGGATAAGGACAAAGGAACTTTTACAAGATATCTAAAGTGAGATTTTAGGAGTGAGAACTGGCTGTCCTCGCCCCCCTGACTCTGGAGCTGGTGGAACGTGAGACAAGATGACGGGTGGAGAGACCGTGTAAGAAGTCGAGCCTGCCCTTGGGGAGAATCAGCCCAGCAACAGGAAGGTTTAATCAGGAAGGAAATCCTGCAAGCTGGACAGAGTTAGACTTCCCCAACTGTACCCCTCTTCCTTCATCCTCCTCCACCCCTACTTGTCTCTGGTCACACTGGCTTCAGCAGCATTGCCTTGCAATATGTGCAGCAGCAGTGGTAACCCAGACAGCCAGATGTGTCAGGTTTTGTCAACAACTGGGGCAAGAAGGGAAATGGGATTCCTGGGGAAGGAAAGTATGAATGGAGACAGAAAGAGGGTGAAAGAGACAAGGAGAGAGAGATAGGTCCCACTCCACCCCCAGAATCCCTTCTGGCTGGCAGCATTGAGTGCAACCCCTGGGGTGACCATTTCTGGGAGGGGCCGTCTCATTCTAGTCCTGTTGATTTCTAAGGGTTTGGGCTGGGGAATGAAGGGTAAAGGAGTGGGAGCCATTAGAAACATTTTCTCCCCAACTCAGGCCCCCCTTAGGTGGGGAGCATGGCAAGGGGGGGAGCCCTGAGAGCTCTTGCTGCAGACACCCAGCCCCCCACCAAACCTCAGACACTTTCCATTTTCTCAGGAACAAAGCATGTTTGCAGGATGAGGTCATACACACAGCTGCCTCTGGAACAGGAGCATGGGGAGTGGGGGCGTAAGGGAAGTGGGGTTCCCACTCCCTTCTACTGCCTCTGATTTCAGTGTCTAGCCCCACAGTTAGAGCTCCCCAGTCCTGGCCAGCCCTTCTCTCCAGGGCTGATGCTAGCTCTCTCAGGGTCAGGGGGTGGAGGGAGACCAGCCACCAAACTCCACAGGTCGAATTCAGAGCTGCAGATGTGTCTGTGGGAAGTTAGACATAGGAAGAACCCCTCCAGTCTGCTCCCTCCTCGGTCAGACCCCAGTGACTGGCTGTCCCCAGAGGTTGCCCTGGATCCAGTTGAAGGAAAAGTCCTCCTCTTTTCAGCCACCACAAGTGGGAAATCCTCGCCAAGAAGTATTGCTTTGGCTTAGAGTCCAGACTCCAGGCGCCAGCAGACACCCCACGCCTGGGGGGCCTGGTTCCTCTGAAGGGAGGGTTCACCTTCCCTTCTGTACAATGGGAGAACACCCAGTACACACTCTGGGCTAGGGCAGGAGGCCATCAGGAGCTGGGTGCTGCAGAGCAAGGCTCCTGGGGAGGGGACTGTGCAGTACAGTCCCTACCTCCCCCACTCCAGGGTTTCCTCTGGCCCAACATCTGAGGATGGATGGCCTGGGCTGTGAGCCACTGGACAGCAGGGGGTCAAGCAGGTGGACAGTGTGGCTCCATGTCCGGCCAGGAGTGCCTGGGTCCTTTCCTTCCTTCCTGGCCTGGCCAGCAGCAGGAGCCACCTTCCTTCCCAGGCCCAGGCTAGCCCTGGAACGCCTGCGCTCTGGGAAGCCAGCTCACTCTGAGACACTAGCACCCCAAATAGGGTATGGGCGTGGCTTGCTTCCTTCCCAGAATCCCCTAGTCTGTCCAGCTGGGCTCCGGGTGAGGACAGAAGAAGGGCACTATCAAGGCCCACCTGTCTCTACCCAACCCCTTTTGTCTCCCCCTTCCCTGGCAGGGGATTGGAGGGAGCCAGTCCTTCCTGATAATCAAAAAGTGGGGTGGGGGAGGAGGAAGACTGCTCTGTCTGCCAGATGGCTCTCAGCCCATGCCCTCTCCAACACCCTCACCCCCAGACACACACACACACACACACACACACACACACACATGCCTGGCACTTCCCAGCAGCCTGCTTGGAGCTCATGAGGGCTGGATAAAGGATTTGGTGTGTGCTGCAAATTCATAAACCTGAGTTTGAATCCTGGCTCCTTCACTTACATGGTGGATGACCTTGGAAAAGTCACTTAAGCTCCTTGAGCCCGTTTTCTCATCTAATAAGAAAAGGTAGTAATACCTCCTACCTCCTAGGGTTGCTATAGGGATTAAATGCAAGGATCCTTCTAAAGCACTTGGCAGAGAAGCACTAAGTCAATGTTAGCTATTAGTCTTTTTATTATTAGTCCTTGCTTCATACTGGGGTCAGATGGCAATTTCTCAGCCAGCGCTGGTATTAGAGATTGAATTATGTCCCCCAAAATAAATGTTACAAACGCTAACTACTCTCGCTGTGGCTAAGGAGTCCTGGTGGCATAATGGTTCAGTGCTCAGCTGTTAACAGGAAGATTGGCAGGTCAAACTCTCCAGTTGCTCTGGTGGAGAAAAAGAAAGCAGTCTGGTTCTGTAAAGATTTATAGCTTTGGGAACCTCATATGGCTCCACCCTGTCTTACAAGGTCACTATGAACTGGAATCTACTTGATGACAACAATTTAGACTTCCCGCTTCCTAAAGGAAGCTTATGAGGATCAGCACTAGATAACTAAGACACCTGTATTTGACCTGCACTTTCTAAGTGCAAGCCCAAGGGCAGAACAAAGAGAAAGGGCTCCCTTTTCTGCTAAGGGAACAGAAGAGGCTCCCAAGGTCCAAGAAGCTTGCTGAGGAGACTAAGAGGGCTAGTGATGGCTCTGCTCCTGCCATGAAGCTCTAGTGAGTCTGACTCAGCTTGTGACTTCTCCCACAGGTACAGATGTGTGCACACCTGTGCCTGCCACTCTGCGCACCAACAGCAAATTCACACCCACCATCTCATCAGACCTCACAAAAGGTAGGCTCCACTTTTCAGCGGCTCACAGGAAGGCCAGAGCAGGATCATGCCCAAGGGTGCTCAGGTAGTCAGAGAGAGCCCTTTCTCACTTCTCTCCTTGGACAATCTTTGCAAGGTCTTCTATGGTGGTAGAAGGGGTGGTCAACATTTATGGGCAAGAGAACGGGAGATGCTGGGTAATATCACCAAGATTGGAGCTTGACTCTTCTCCCATTTTACCCCCAGCTGCCAGCTCTGCCACTGGAAGGCACCCAGCAGCCTTTCCAAATACTCATGCCAACTACTCAACCCTGTTTTACCTCCCCTCCTCCACTGTCCAGGAGGGCCCCACAGCTGTGAGTTAGGATCAGGACAGACCCCTCCCCCAGCTCCTAGGAGTTGACAGGAGACTTAAGGGGTGAAATCAAACTCTCCCATCCCCTGCTACCAACCCCAAACTCCTCTCTCCCCTTGCCTGCCCCCCCCCCCAAGGGAAGTCAAAGACACTTAGGGGAAGGGGGATGGGGCACAGGATCCGCAGCTGCTCTGGGGACAGAAGAGGAACAGTTCATTCACCCCAGTCCCCCAGGGCTGAAGCAGTATGTCCAAGATTTGAGTTTAAAAATAAGTTGGGGCTGTCTTGATGGCTTCGTGTGTTTATGGGGCTGCTTCTTGATCTCAGTCTTACTGTCTTAGGGCCTAGGCCTTAAGGGGCCTTAGCTGACTCAGTGTCTGCTTTCCCTCTTTCCTCTGGGCCTCAGGATCTGTCTTGGAAGCTGCCAGCTTCCCTTTTCATCAGCTTCCATGAACTCTTAGCATCTCTTCTCTGCACACTCCAGCAGCTGTCCTTACACTTTGGGAGTCTGTGTCTCTGACTAGCTCTCTCCCAGTAGAGGCCACCACCTCTCTGAGTTCCTGTCTCTTGACACCCAAGGTCTCATAGCGTTCCTGTGGCTTCTGTCTTTGTGCACCCCAGGCTCTCTCTCTCATCTCTTAATGCCTCAAGGTCTTCACCTCTAGGGCTCCAAAACAGGGACTAGAAATTCACAGCCTGGCCTACCAGGAACTATGGAAGCATAAAGTTAGGAGTTCCTCACTTGTCCAGGGCCTTTCTGAGGCAATGGGTGGACAGCGTTCATTTCTGAAAATGCTCTACAAAACCCTATCGGCCCCTCTGCCTCTCCTGTCTCTCGGTGGCTCTACACACTCACGTCTCCGTAGCCTGACGTCCCTATCTCCATCCTGGTGTCTCGTTCCAGTGGTTCCTGCCAGCTTCAATGTCTCGGACCCTCCCGGTGGCGGCAGGCCGCAGAGTCTAGGTCTCCCCCGTGTCTCTCCGGTTTTTCCATTTCGGACTTTCCCCCGCGCGCGCTCGCAGCGGTCCCCGCCC